GGGTCATCTCAGACATTGTGTTCAGCCATCTTAAGACACCTTGGGTCCTCTTGGGGCCTCTTTGGGCTGTGTTGGGGCTATCTTGAAGGCTGCTTCCCACTGGCCTCCGCTGTTGGCTCTTGGCTTCCCTTGGGCTATCTTGAAGGCTGCTTCCCACTGGCCTCCGCTGTTGGCTCTTGGCTTCCCTTGGGGCCCTATCGCGGGTTCTGGAGGCCCTCTTAGAGCTCTTTTGTTGCCTTAGTGGGGCCACATCGGGGCCCGAAAAGCCCATTGAAGCCCGCACTGACCAAGAAGCCAACATACTCGAAAAGCGCATGCTCCTTGTGCGGTGCTGGCCATCTTGAACGCATCGGAGGAAAGTTTTCTCAGCCACCTTTGGCCGTCTGTGCAGTCCATGGGACTGTCTTGCGGCCATCTGTCGGCAACCATGACACCATCTGGTGGCCATCTTGCAGCCACCATGGGACCTGCCACGCTCGGACCCGCGCTTCTGGGGCGCCTTCGCTCGCTCTTGACGGGCTCCCGCCCGCTCTTGAGTGGCCTCCGCCCCGACGTCGGCCCCCCGGGGGGGGGCCGCAGACCCCCCAGGGCCGCCCTCACACGCGCGGGCTGGATGCAGCAACTGCTCTTCTTCACCCGAGCCACCTGTCCGAGGGATCTCGCACGCCTGTTGCCCGTCGGGCCAGCGACTCTCCCGTGGAAGCGCCGTCAGCGTCGGCCAGCCGTCCGCGACGCAGGTCCCTGCGGGGCTGGCCGGCCTCCCTGGGCCGGGCACCTCCACGCGGATGGCCTATGCCGGTTCGCCAGGCTGGCCTGGGCCCGCGCTGCCGATGAGCCATCCCGTGGGCGTCGGCTCGCACAGCCTGCCCGGCGCCCAGCGGCAGCAGGTGGTTTAGGATGCAATTCTTGGGAGGGCACATTCAGCGTTAGCGCTGGCGTGTCCGTGGGCGATGGCAAACTTTATCTGGCACGATCACGATGTATTCCTCTGAATCACGCCTAGTCCTGCTCAATCGGGTTTAACACTGGTCTTAGTTATTCAGGCCAATCTGGCTAAGACGCCTCTCCATTGGGCCTGCGAATTTCCCTCCCTTGATCTCTCTTACGAACACCTGCCAGGAGCTGCCGGCTCCTAAGAGGTTGTTTGTTCTTCAGATTCCGGTCAGGTTCTTTGCATGGTGGGCGGATGGGTCGGGGGCGGCAAAGAGGGGGGTGATGACTAGGGGGGGGTGGATATCATGGCGGGGGCCATGATATCTCCACAGATTTCATGGCGCCTCCTCTTGTTTCATTACGTCCCTGGCCCCCCCGCTGGGCCGCGCACATGCCGCCGGTCATGATTTGCACCCCCCTCTCTTGGACAGCCCCCTCTTGGCCGCTCCCGAATGGGGGTGGGCGTGGCGACCGGCGAGGCCCGGAAAGAAGGCTGGATTTCACGCAGGTCGGGGCTCACTTGCCAGACCTCTCGGCCCCGCGTCGCCGGCAGAGGCGGCGGAAGGGGATGGGGGCCCATGCAGGTGAACTTGCTTGCGTCAGATGTCAGGCGATCGCAAACATGGATCAGCAGGGCGTGGATTGGCGACGTGTCCCGTTTCCATGGGACATTTTGCGAACTTCCGCCGCCGAGCAAGGCGGCACCGGCCGCATTTCGGGGAGATGCCCGCGCCAAATCTGTGGATCGTTGATCCATGCTTGCGCGCCCCCGAACTTGCAAGACGTGACGAACCAACAACACACACCAATACCCATAGGGGGGTCGGAAAGGGCTATGGGTGCGTGTTGTCGGATGGGGGTCCCCGCTCGAACGGGAGCGTTCCCTAGGGTCCGACAACCCGCACCCATAACCATAGCCAGTCCTCCCCCCAACGACCCCCTTATGGGTACGGGTGTGTGTTGTTCGTTCGTCAAGACGCCCTCCAAGGTGGTGGTGGTGCCTCCCGGCCCCAGCTCCTTCCGCCCCCCAGCGGCGCGGCACCCGGCCGCGATGCCGCCGCGGCCGCCCGGGTGAGGCCGGACTGGGCGCCTGTCGACGAGCGCGTCGTGGTGCCCGCGTCGCCCGCACTCCGAAAGGATTCGCCACGCGATGCGCATGTCAGGTGGAGAAGGAGGAGGAGGAGGAGGAGGAGGAGGAGGAGGAAGAGGAGGAGGAGAAGGGG